ACATGTAAGGTCTTATTCCTACTAAGAAAAACTTGATTCTCAGAGAGTGAACTAAATTCTGTGGTACCATAAACGGCAAATTGTACATTTTTATATATCAATGTGTAGGGGAAAGTTCCTGAGATGGTATATGATTTTGAGAAGGAAGAAGTGGGCTTGTATCTCTTTACCACAGTACACCTGGGTAGGCCACCTAAACTCAACTTCTCACTGGAAAATGACTGCAATGACAACACTTGATTTAACTACCCTAAGGTTACAGGGAAATGAATCTCAAAAAAATAAGCCTTGAGAGTAAATTGTATTATGCAAAAATCAGGTATTATATACTATTGTGTGTTTTCATCCACTGACCCTTGGAAGAGTTTTGTCTTAGATTCATTTACGTTCACTATGAAGACAGAGTGGCACCTGGCTAGGGGAAAGTTGTCATAATCCACAATGTCTCTTCCTAAATGTGAGTTTGGGGTCCAGAAACCCAGCTGGGTGAAGCGAGGGTTATGAAGAAGTTGTGTATTTTGCATTCATGGGATGCATGGCCAGCTATGAGACATTCTGATAGCTACAAGAGGTTTCACGTTGGCCAGGGAGCCAGACTAAAACATGTCCTTCTTGTAACTCCTGCCTTAGAACAGATACAGAGGTATAATCTTGCCTTTGAGAAGTGACGTGGTATATCAGATGAAAGGGAAGGTTCTGGATTGCTTGAATCTGAACCCATGGTCTACTCAAGTTACCTAACCTTGATCTGCCTCTATTTCCTTAACTGTAAAATGGGGATAATAGTAGATTAGTTTCCTATTTCTACCATAACATATCAACACAAACTTAGAAGTTTAAACAACACCCATTATTGGTATCTCATCATTTTGTAGGCCAGAAGTCAAAGCCTAAATGAAAGGGTTGGCACAGATGCATTCCTTTCTGGAAGACCTTGGGCTGAATCTGCTCCAAGCTGTTTGATCTGTTGACTGAATATGGTTCCCTGTGGTTATAGGGCCGGGGTCCCCATTTCCTTCCTGGTTGTGAGCTGGAAGCCTCTTCCAACTCCTTAAGGCTGCCTGCATTCCTTGTCACTTTGCTCCCTCCATATTGAACTTGTAATGATATCTCAAATCTTTTTCACACTCAGAGTCTGTGACTTCTCATTTGCTGCCTCTCTTCTGACTCTAATTGGACAAAGTAAACTGCTAAGGGCTCCTGTGATTAGCTTGGTCCTACCAAGATAGTCATGGATCCTCTTCCTATCTTATGGGCCCAGCACACTTCCGCTGGGCCACTGTGCTCACCCTCTTCCTATCTTAAAATCTGTAACCTTAAATTATATCTCCAAAATCCCCTTTGCCATGCAACATAGCATATCAAAATTCCAAAGACTGGGATGTGGACATCTTCTTGGGGAGGTGGAGGAGAGCCCTTCTGCCTACAACAAATAGTACTGCCTCATAAAGTAACTGTGAGCGTTAAACAGCTTCCCCATCTTTGACTAGTGGAAGCCAATTCAAGTGGCCTTCTGTCAGCTTTATAACACATTCCATCAGTCTTTCTGGGGGGATAGTAGGTCCCAAGCTCCTGTCCTACACCTGGAATTAGCTACTTCTGATAAATGACACGTGAAGACCACAGTCTGGGAATTAGGGATGGAATCTCTTTTATAATCATTTATAGTGCTTTTTATGTTTCTGCAGATAGTAACTCCATGCTTCTAGGCATTTGACGGTTCCTGCTTTTTATGTGCTCCTGGTTCACCTAGATAATCCCCACGCCTCTCTTGCTTGTAACTGCCAATTTTTATGATTCCTCACCTTTTCTCCAACCAGCACAGACAATACCCCTTCTCAACTTTTCATTCTTCCCTTCTAAGCCAGACATCCTTGTGCATCTCGGGGCTTCTAAGACATCAACATGGGGACTAGGTACGTACTATGATATATTATAAAAAGTATAATAATATCCCTCACAAAATGAAAAATCTGTTTTATGCAAAGGCCTTTCACCAGGAAGTTTTTGTAAATTTTAGGATGCTTTGTTTTTGCCTTTAGTTCACCTGAATCTTTGCACCTGGAAAGCCACAGGCCCCTTTTACATTCTGTACTCACATCAGGCAATCTTAATAGAGAAAAAGATGTTCATTTGTCATCAGATGCCATAGTTCTGAGGCATAAGAATCCTGTGAGAGTTGGGAGAACAGGACAAAAGTAAAGATGAAGGAAGGGTTTTCGTATAGGCACTGAATCCCTGAGGCTCTGATTTATTTGACCTACTTGAAGTAAAATTCAACATGTTGTTTATGGCTGATGTGAAGCCTGTGTCATACCATGTTTTATGATCCCAAATGAACAATGGAAAGAAAAATTCCTAAAGGAATACTGAACAGGTGTTTGGAGGCTATGGGACATTTATTTAGTTATTTGGAGAAGGGCATGTGTTTGATGGTGAAATCATTAAGTTGCCTAGGGTCATAGATTGGAGCATGCATTAGTGGTTTCTAAGAAAAGAAAAAAAATCTAGAATGTCTTTTATTTCCCATCATCCTTTTGTTAAAATGTCATTGACATTGAGGGTGTTGACTGATTCAGAGAACCATTCCTGTCACCACTGCCAGGGAAGCCTGGATAAATCTGAGAGAGGCCTGGATTGGCAGAGGCTGGTAAGGCAGCCACACCTAAGAGAGCTCCACAGACAGAGTGATGGTTTTCTCACAGAATGATGACATGCAAGTTTGTACTTTGGAAACTATTCACTTCTTAAGAAGGTAATGGCTCTAGAAACACAGTGTGGCTGTGATACTTTTGACAAGAACATCTCTTGACATACTTTATTAACCTCGTTAGCTTGGTCCTGTGAAGGGGGCCTCTGAGTTCACCCCAATTCTCTAACTCCTTTTGAACTGCTCTGGACATTAGTATGTTTATTAGTCTGAAACAGAATCAACAAATTGGGACTCAAACAATGTGTGCAAAATCTTGCAATGTATATACTTCCATGCTAATTTTTTTAAAATGCATGCATATGAGCCAATTGGATTTAAAACTTTGCATTACTAGCTGGATGTAGTGTGCACACCTTCAGTCCCAGCCACACAGGAGGTTAAAGCAGGAGATATATGTTATCATAAATCAAAGTCAGTTTCATGCTTTACAGATTCAGTGACATGCCTTCTGTATAGACCTTTCTGAATATGTAGAATCTACTATTCATTTGCTCATCCTACAAATATTTAACGAGTAGCCTTAACATTCTGGGCACACCAAATGCCATTTAATTCAATTGGTATCAAACATTAGAGAAAAGTCTGGAAATGAATATGATTCCATGTTTTATTTGTATTTTTCTCAAATATGTCTTAGGTTTTTAAGTATCACGAAAAAGGTTGGATATGCTAAGAAATAGCTAATTTAAAGAATCTAATTTAAATTCACATTTAAAGTGAATTAGCACCAAAGACTTAGCAATACTGAAGGTGGATTATTTTGCATTAGTCTTTGGTGCATGCTTTTAGACTGGACTGTTCCATAGGGTCTCAGCTAGCAGGTACTTTTCACATGTCTAGATTTTGCAGTGTGATTTTGGGTAGGAAGACCACATAATTTATTGTTCCAAGTAGGCAATTTTGAGAGTTAATGGGGTACTATTAATAATTACGCCAGTATAACAGATATAAATGGAACTCTTTAAGGCAAACAGGGTCATATGGTCATCCTAGTTGGAAGGAAACAACACAGGTTGGATCAGAAACTGTCGCACACTGGCAGCCTTATCATGTGAAGGTCACTTCCCCTTTCTGGCTGATTCAAATGACAACTAAAGGGGTTATGCTAAAATGAATGTCATTGTTTGCTTCAAATTCTACCATTCCATAGTTACCAGCAGATTCGAAAGAAAGCGTTTCATTATTTTTTTGAAAGAGCTTCAAACTAACAGACACTTGGCTGGACAAGCACATGAAATATTTTCCTTCTCCCCTTTTTAAAACCGCATAGTCACAAAAGCTTACACACATTTAAAATAAATCAACACTTCCTTGCTTCATGGTTGGCAAGATTTTCATCTTCACTACCTGAAGCATCACATTGAGAAGGATCTGAGACGAGAGCTGAGGTTCAGCAGGGAAAAGGATCTTAATCAATTAGTGACGCTTTCTGCAGTCATGGGAATAGCAGAAAGAAGCAGGGTGGAAGAGAAAGGGTACAGTGCAGGCAGATAGGCCAGATCTCTGCCATAACGGATCTAGGCCTCTGGTGTAAAAAATAAAACAAAAATCGTGTGTTGTAAGGTAAATATGCCTTATTGATAGCTAGCCCTATGTTAGTCTCACTTAGGAAGAGGTTCTGAGAAATGTGAGAAACCGGGAGATTTTCTCCTCCTGGTTCTCCATGCCCTTCCCTATGCGCTCAAGAAGTGGAGCATAAGGAGCATCCCCTAGATGCCTGGCTGCCTCCTAGCATCCCCAGAATCAAAGGATCCTACTGTGCGGCAAGGATGAAGAGCCCTGAGCCTAGAGGCTAGAATGGGAGCACAGGACAGCTAGATCCCAGTCCTTGTTCTTTACCAAGCCTGTATGATCTTGGCCAGATAATTTCTATCTTAGTTTCTAAATGAGTGTGGACTTTAAGTATCCTCCAGCTCTAGCTTTCAGTGACTAAAAAAACCAGGAGATGAAGACTCTCATGGTGTGTTAATGCAAACACTTTAGATTTCCTCCTTGCAAACTGAAGCAAAGTTTACTTTGTTGTTAAAGAGATAAACCTGCGGTAAAGAATCAGGAAACAAATGCATATCACTTTTCCATACACAAACAATCTCGACTTCTTGAAAGAGGCAGCTAAGATAGACAACACCATTGACAGAGTCCTTTGTCTAAGTTCTCTAAAATGATTTTTGAACACCTGAAATCCATGGACAAATTTATTACTTTCTAGATATTTTTTTCATTACTTATACTTCCATTCTTAGCAGAACTTTCTGCATTCCTCCTAGTCAATAACTTAACATCTCACCTGAGTGACAGCAATATTTGTCCCATCGGTGACTTCCACACTCATGTTATAGAAGGATCTCTGCTCTGCATCCAAAGGTTTTGCGATGACGATTGTCCCAACACCCTTCTCTGCATCAAAAGAGCTGTCAAAATTCCCCCCTGATGATTTCACAGAAACAACAGGAGATTAGCACATGTGAGAAGTTGTTACATGTGTTGAAGTGTGTATCTCTAAAGGGAGCTCTTACATAGAAATACTTTTGGATGGGCATTCCTATGACAAAATTTTGTACATCTTAAATGGGACCTTTTTATTTCTAACTTCATTCATATTTCAAAACACAGCCTCAAGAATACCTAAAAAAGTCACACAAATGTATTGCAAAGAAAAACTCAGCAGTAATGTTAGAGTAGTAAAGCACAAACTGACCTCATGAAATATTTAGAAAGCTAATAGCCCTCCAACCCCTTGTGGCTTCTCTGCTAGGAATCTGAACATCCTTCTATTTTTTCCGAAGTCAATGAAATTCTAAGTAAACAAATTGTCCAATTATTGTTAACAAAATGAGTAGATACTTTTAAATCTGTTCTAGGATTGATGGTAAACATTTGGCTAGTAGAGTTCAGATTCCCTCAATTAAAGGTCAGAAATAAAATTATGATGACTAGAACTTATGAAAAATGCAAATAAAACTAAATTTCATACGAAAAACTCTATCTGCAAGGTGAGATATTTATAGAAACATTTTTGCCATCTTGACATTGTGAATTTTCTCCTAAAAAGATAGAAAGTTTATGAGAGATTCACAAGATGAAATTGGGATAGGAGTAAAGGAAAACACTAAGTAGTTAATAACAACTTACAAAACTATTTATATAATGGTTTAGTCAAGCCAGGCACTGGTGGCTCATGCCTGTAATCCTAGCTACTTGGGAGACAGAGATCAGAAGAATCACAGCTTGAAGCCAGCCTGGGCAAATAGTTTGGGAGATACTATCTTAAAAATACCCAACACAGAAAAAAATAAAACAGGATGAGTGGAGTGGCTCAAATGGTAGAGCGTCTGCCTAGCAAGCGTGAGGCCTTGAGTTTAAATCTAGGTACCACCAAAAAAAAAAAAAAAGTTTAGATCAGATGTAACTCATTGCCTGTGAATGATATGTTTAAGATAATGTTGGAATTGTTGAGATGCTTCCATTTCTGCAAGCCAGAATGGGTTTATGATCTTCCTAAACTGACATATCTTCTAAAGGAGGAAAGAAGAGAGTACTTTAACTGAACAGCACAAGCTCTGTTTATTTCAGTCTGAAATTTCATGCTGTCAATTAACTTTGTTCTTGGATGGTAATTTTATTTAACTACAGCATGTAGGGAATGTATTTATTGAACTTCATATTTTAGAAAAGAAACACTGGCTTTTCTTACCTTGTACATTCTTTGCATTTCATTTTGCTGATTAATGAAAAACACATTTCTATATTATAATTATAAATGGGCAGATGAGTTAAGGGGAAGGAGAATTTTATCTGAATTACTAAAATTCGATATACAATGATACAAAATAAATGATATGGTTTACTTTTTAAAAAAGTGCTCATATACATTTCAGATACCTATTGCTCAGATCTGTCATGTATACTTAAGATTATTTAATTACTAGAGAGAACATAATTGCCCTTGACATTTAATTAAAGTCATGGAGATACAGGGATGCTAGAGAATTGCTTGGGGATGATATACTTTCTCAAAAATTTCATCTAAAAAGAGACTCATTTCCCAATTACTACCTTTAATTGATTTACTGAGAAGCACTGAAGTTGACTCCAAAAACTTCTTTTGAAGAACAGGGTAAGGAGGAGGATGGGTAAGGGGCCAAAAAAGAAAAGTGAGCTTTGGATCAGTGCCGGTGCTTCTTATTCAAAAGGAAAGTATCATGTTGAAAGCCACATAAAATAAAGGGGAGGCCTGACTCAAGTGCCTGGCGTAACCATTTTAACGAGCAAAGAAAAATAATCTGTCATGAAAAGATGGATTCTGAAAAAAAAAATTTGCCATGGAAACTCTCAAAGTAAAGGACATATCATCATCTCTTAAGACTTTTGAGGAAGAAACATGAAGATGTAACTTCCCAAGCTGTTTTTGAGGGTAGTAAATCACATTTTCAACCATATTTAAATCACTTCTAGAATGTTTTTGGCCAAAAATGACTGCTTTCTTAAATCTGAGGACTAAGATTTTAATTTTTATTCTTTTAGGTGGGGGAAGGGGGTCATCATCCAGTGTCAATAATTTTGGAAGTTAAAAATTTGTAGGTCAAGGCAAAAGAGAAATTATGCAAATTATAGAACTTTAGTTTGTTCTACTTTTGAGATTAATGAGAACTAAATTTGTAGAATATGTAAGCATAGGTTTCCAATTTAAGTTAATGGCTAACTGGGGCAATTTTATATGCTTTCGCTCATGAACTATGACTTCCTTTTCCTCAGGGCACTGCACACAATACACAACCCTTGCATGTGCTTAATAATGTAAAATCTACATATTTTACATACACGTTTAAATCGTGTGCTTTTTCTTAGTTGTTTTTTGTATCAAATAGTATCTTTTGCAATTTTTATGGCTGTCATTTTTTATAGTTCTCTCTCTTCCTGTGTGTGCATGTGTGTTGTGTGCACGTGTGTGTGTGTGTGTGTGTGTGTGTGTGTGTGTGTGTGTGTTTCCCCATCACCTTTAAGTGCTGTAGACCTACAGAGGATTGGGGCTTGTGGATATTGGAAAAGGAGTAGGAGAAATACATAATTAGAAACACTGGG